CGAAACACGCCAGGAAGTAGCATATGATCAAGGATCCATGGTAATTAATGAAGAAGTTAAAGCTGCACCAACGGCATTACCAAAATATAAGGCCCCAGACCTTCTAAAGATTAAATCCCTGTGTGCATCAAAAACCTTTTCCCACAACATGAAAAGAAAACCTACTGTCTTGGAAAAAAACATTTGGCAATACCATTTCAGACAAGGGTCTCCTATCACAAGTTTACAGAATCCTACAGGGCCTCCCCAAGAAAATGACTGATAACACATTTACAAAATGGAAAAAAGACATGCAAAGAATTTTCACAGAGGAAGGTATTAGGATGGCCAACAGACACATGAAGAAATGGTCAAAATCACTGGCAATAAGAGAGATGCAAATCAAAACTACAATGAGATACCATCTCACCCCAGTAGCAGTTGAAAAGTTTAACAGGACAGCAAGTATGCTAGAGAGGATGTAGAGAAATAGGAACTCTCAAGTACTGTTGGTGGGATTGCAAAATGGTTTAACCACTCTGGAAGGCAGTTTGGCATTTCCTCAAAAAGCTGAACATAGAAATTCCACATGACACAGCTATTCCACCGCTTGGAATATACACTGAGAAAATTAGAACTGAGGCACAAAAGGAGATATGTACACTAATGTTCATAGCAGCATTATTCACCGTCGCAAGAACATGGAAACAGCCCAAATGTCCAACCACAATCAAACTGATTGAGAAATTATGGTACATTTACATGATGGAATACTACACAACATACAAGAGCAATGATTTTGAAAAGTACTACCTAACTTGAGAGGGACTGAAGAGCATTATGCTAAGTGAACTAACTCAGTGCTATAAGGACAAATACTGCAGAAGACCATTATTGTAGAAATAGAAAGATAACTAGTAAAACGTGTACAAAGATCTGAGAGGGGGAAGGTAAGAACAGAGGGGTGAAGATGGGCAGGGGGGTGGTCATAGGGTTGTGCAATCTGATGGGTAGAGAGAGGGGTAGATAAATGAAATGGAAAAGATCCAATGTGTGTGGGGGGGAATGTATGTGACCTTTGTAAGTAAACCAGTATAAAATTAAAATTCTATTTTAAAAATAAAATAAAACAGGGCCCCAGGAATTGATGGAATACTAACTGGCATGCTTCAACAAACAGATGCAGTCCAGATGTGCTCACTAGAAATTTGGACCATGGCTATCGGGCCAACTGACTGAAAGAGATCACATGTGTTAACATTTAAAAAAGATTATTCAACACAATGTGGAAATTATGGGGAAATGTCATTCATGTCACATGCAAGTGAAATCTTGCTGGAGCTTATTCACAAACATCTGTCCAACACAATGATAAGGAACCTCCAGAAATTCAAGCTGGACTTGGAACTTGGCATCTTGATATCATTACTGATATTAGACGTATTTTTGCTACAAGAAGAGAATGCCAGCAAGAGGTTTATTTGTATTTCATTGATTATGCAAGAACATTTGACTGTGTGACTCCTAATAAATTATGGATAATATTGAGAAGAATGGGAATTCCGGGACACTTAATGGTGCTCATGAGAAATCTATTCACAGACCAAGAAGCTGCTGTCCAAACAGAACAAGGGAGCACTACAGGGTTTAGAAAGGTGTACATCAGGGTTGTGTCCTTTCTCAATACCTATTCAATCTGTATGCTGAGCAAATAATTTGAGAAGCTGGACTTTACAACAAACAGTGTGGCATTGATATTACAAGAAGGCTCATCAACAACCCACATTACGAAGATGGCATAGCTTGCTAAAAGTGAAGAGGACCTGAAACACTACAGAAGACCAAAGACTAAACTTCAATATGGATTACATCTTAACATCAAGAAAACAAAAATCGTCACCACTGGACCAATTGGCAACTCTGTGATCAATGGAGAAAAGATTCATGTTGACAACGATCTCATTTTATTTCAATCCTCCATTAACACCCCTAATAGCAGCAACCAAGAAATCAAAAGATATGTTGCAACAGGGAAATATGCTGTCAAGGACCGTCCAAAATGCTAAAGAACAATGTTGTCAATTTGAAGACTAAGATGCCCAAATCTAAGCCATGGTCTTTTCAGTTACTTCCTATAGATCGGAACTTCGGTCAATGAATAGGATGACAAAATAACTGAGTCTTTAAGCTGTGGTGTTAAGGAAGAGTCCTGAACACCCCATGGACTGCCAAAAGAACACGGGTCTTCCTGGACGAAGTACATCCGTGGTGCTTCTTAGAGAAAAGGGTGGTGAAACTTCTCCTCACATACTTAGAGCATGTTGTCAAGAGAAGCTAGTGTTTGGAAAAAGACATCACGCTGGGAAAGGTGGAGGGTCCAAGAAGGAGAGGACGATCTAACAAAATAAACTGACACTAGGGACTCTACCAAAGCCTCGAGCATATCAGAAATCACGAGGACGGTGCAGCATGGGGCAAGGTTCAGATCTGATGTTAATAGGAGAGCTATGAATCCCAGCTGACTGGATGACACATAACAACAACAAAAACAACAGAGGGGAGACATTGACCAACTCGGGCGAGGGAGAAGGCAACACATGATAACGAATGGGTTCAATGCAAAATTATTGAGGTAAAGAAAGACCCTGAGGAGCACAAGAGTTTAAGACAGAAGAAGTAATTAGTTGTTATTGTCGTTAGGTGCCATCATGTTGCTACAAGGACTAGGCCCTTCTGACAACATGCCCAAAGTGTATGAGCTGAAGCTTCACCATCCTTGCCTCGAAGGAGCCCTCTGGTTGCTCTTCCTCAATGACAGACTTGTTTGTTCTCTTGGCAGTTCACGAACTATTCAGTACGTTTCTCCAACAACACAATTCAAAGGCATTGATTCTTGTCATCCTTATTCATCATCCAACTTTGAGATGCACAAGAAGTCATTGAAAAGATCATGATTTGGATGAGGGACATCTTCATCTTTAAGTTGAAATCCTTGCTCATGAGCACTTTGGAGAAATCCTTGACAAATTTTCCCAGTGTAACATCTTTTGATTTCTTGGCTGCTGCTACCATGGGTGTTGACTGTAGATCAGGATAAAATGAGATGACAGCTTCAATGTTTTCTCCATTGATCACGATGTTGCCAATTGGTCTAGTGGTAAAGAATTTTGTTTTCTCGGTGTTCAGATGTAATCCATAATGAAGCCTGTAGTCTTTGATCTTCTGCAATAAGTGCTTCAAATTCTCTTCACTTTTAGCAAGCAAAATTGTGTCATCTGCATAATGCAGATTATTGATGAGTTTACCTCCTCTGTCAACATCACATTATTCTTCACAGAGTTCAGCTTCTCAAATAATTTGCCCAGCATTTAGACTGACTAGATATGGAGAAAAGAAACAACCCCCAATAGATCTTTTTAAATTTTAAATCATACAGTGTTCCCTTGCTCTATTTGAACATCAGCTTCTTGGTCTAGGTCTAGGTGTAGGTCTTGGTCTTGGTCTAGGTGGGAATCAAATGTTCTAGAATTCCCATTCTTCACAAAGTTAGCCATAATTTGTTATGATCCACACAGTCAAACACCTTTGCATCACCAATAAAATGCAAATAGACATCTTTCCAGTATTCTTTGCTTTCGGCCAAGACCTATTTATTGACATCAGCAAGGATATCCCTTGTGCCACACCGTCTTCTAAATCCAGATGGAATTTCTTGCAGTTCCCTGTAGGTTGTACAGGTCCAACGGTTTTTTTAATAATCTTTAGCAAGATTTCACTTGCATATATTGTTCAATAATTTCCACATGCTATTGGGTAACATTTTTTTGAGAATGGGAACACATAGGTTCTCTTCCAGTCAGTGGGCCAAATCTTCCAAATCTCTTGGCCTAGACTAGTAAATGGTATGGCCTACATAAGCTGAAATAACAGTAATAGCAATTGGCTAGAGTAGATACTTCTTGAAATTATTGAGGAGTAATGATGTCATTTTGAGGACTAAGGTGTGCCTGATTCAAGCCATGTCTTCTCAGTTGCTTGATAAACATCTAAGAGCTGAATAATGAATAAAAATGACAGAAGTAAAATTAATGCCTTTGAGACGTGCTGTTGGAGAAAATTACTGAACATCCAGTGAACTGCCAAAAGAACAAACATATATGTCTTGGGGAAAGTGAAGCCAGAGTGCTCCTCGGGGGCAAAGATAACAAAGCTTCATCTCACATAATTTGAGTATGTTGCTAGGAGAGTTTATTCCTTGGAGAAGACATTCTGCTTGGAAAAGTGGAAGGCTGGCCAAAAAAAAGAGGAAGACCCTCAACCAGATAGACTGACACAGTGACTGCAGCAACGGGCTTGTGTGTGTCAGAGATGGTGAAGACGGCACAGGAGAGGACAGGGTTCAGACCTGCTGTCCATAGGCTGGCTATGTATGGGTCATACGCAATTTGACAATACCTAACAACAATAAGAGTAGGTATGTACGCAGACAAGCTGAACCGGCATGGAAAGTCACAAGGGATTAAATATTTTGACAGACGATATTTCTTCATATATTCACATATGCTGTAAATACATCCACAATGATGATAGAGCATACAGCAGAGAAGTTATTAAAACATCTTAGCCATGATCAATCACCTCGAGGAAATGAGCTGCCAGGACTGAGAGCTTAGGCCCTGGTCTCCTAAGGGAAACATCAAGATCATTGGTCTTCAAAGCCTGGCCCTCTTGTTCATTGGACTTATCCCATACTGAGGGTGCCCTTGCAATGGAAATCATGTCCTGGGGTGAAAAAAAGCCTTCAGCTGACAGAGTGACTGGTAGGGGCTAGTTTTTCCCCTGGAGGGCCTACAGGCAGGAATAGATAAGGCTCTCTGGAAAAGTCTCCTCCCAGGAAAGGAGGGTGGGTCCTTGCCTGGAGGCCCTAAGGTATTTTCTGGGTTTGTCATATCATCTAGTATGTTTCATTCACATAAACGCATCAGTCTGCTGTGAGCACCAGACGAGGGCCAGTCTCCTACCTGGGTCACAGACTTGGCAGGGCAGACACTCTGTCAGGCCATTGAGGTGGGCAGTGTAGGTCCCCTGGTCACAGGGCACACACACGGTGCCTGTGTACTCATCGCATGCTTGCTTCACCCGGTAATCTGCAGGACACAAGAGGTGACAGAGGTCGGGCTGCAGAGGGTCCTGTGCAGCCGGTCACTCACTAGCCAGGATCTCCCAGTCACAGGAACCCCTGGACTCAGGCACCACCCATTCCCTAAGAGCTGCCCTCCAAGAACTTCCTGCTGTTGGGGGAGTGCACAGGTCCTGGGAGAATGGGCACCTTCCCTTGCTCTCAGAGTCTCATTTCCCTGACATAAGTGTATGAGTGACTGCCCTGTGCTGGGAGCTGTGACTGTCACATGGGGTGAAGAGCTCGAGCCCACGGTCTGCTGGTGCCTATTTTCCCTGGGGTTTCGTACCACTCATGGAGTCGGGGCAGTGAACAAAGGATGGGTCCCAGTTAGAGAATATGGGAGGAGTATCTACCTACCCTACCCCCCTCAAGTGATGGCCCTTTGGTAGACACCCCCTCCTGTGTGCTGGTCCTCCACTAACCTGGGCTGCACTTGGGGCAGCACTCGGTGCCCACTGGGAACTCCTCCTCGTTGCAGATGGGCAGTGCCAGGGTGAAGCTGCACGACAACAGGAGAAAGATGCAAAGCACCTGTAGGGGAACAGGACAGCGTTGGAGGGGTGGAGAGCCGGGCAGTCGCCTAGCCACCTGGGGGCGGGCACCACCCTGGCCTCAGTCTCTCCCGCTGAGAAGCGGGGATGCAGCATGAGCCCCATGGAATAGGCAGAGCCCTGATGAAGGTGGAGAGGTGGGGCCAGACAAGTTCTGGTATAACTAAGGAGAGTCCCGGGGCCCAAGAATGGAGATGGCCACCTTCCAACTCCTCCACCTTACCGGGCCACGTATGGAGCCTCTGAAGACTGTCCCTGGCTTTGTCTGTGTCTCTACAAACGCTTAGCCACACTAGATGGATCTAAGCACCCCCTACTACTGTCCTGTCCTGGCAACACTGACCCTTGTCAGTAAGCAGCATCAGACCAGAATCACCCTCAGAGCTCACAGACCTGGATTAGCAGCAGAGTCACAGAGGCACAGGGAGAGAGAGGAAGGGGGAGCCAAGCAGGAGCCCCCACCAGGAAGCTCAGCCCAGGAACGCAAGCAGCACAAAGCCACCGCTGTGGAGTTGGCTCTGAGTCTGAGTGACCTTTCATCAACCTCCCATCTGGTCTTCCAGGCTGAAAATCGTTATGGGAGGAGAAAAAGAAACTACCTTTCTTTCTCCCTGGAGCCGTTTCTCTATAAACTTGATTGTGGCCAGAAAACGGCTGCCTGCCTGTACTGTCCACCTGAAGCCCTCATCCAGCTGGGGACCACCCTCTCTACTCTGCAGGGTCACAGCACCTTGATGGCCACCAATTTGGAGCATCTGTCCATTCTCTCTAGGTGACAGTGGAGTGAGGGCCCCCATCTCCCTGCCCTGCTGACCACCAGCCCCAGGACGGAAATAGACTGAGTAGGACCTACCCTTTCTGTCCAGGTCACGGTGATGCAGGGACCAGGTCTGTCTGGATGGCTGAATATCTGGAGACAAAGTCTCTGTGAAAGCAGAAGAGACCAGCAGAGGAGGACGCTGGCAGAGGTGACAGAGAAGGACTCCAGGAGGACCCTGTGACTCACCTGCCGCGGGGTGCCAGGCAGGGATGCAGGATTCCTGATGGAAGACCTCCGCCCTGCAGAGGCTCCGCATCCCACTTCAGCCTCCTTCATTCCCTGGCAACAGGCTCAGAACCCTGGGCCGCGAGAGAACTTCTAGAAAACAAGCTAACTGCCATACTTGCTTGACAGTGAAAGTAAAACTCTTTCCGGAAACCAGCTGCCCCAAGGTAACTGTGGTCTCAGCGTGCACTAGGATCCCAGCCACTCAGGAGCAGTGAGGTGGCAAAAGACCAGGGGGGACTAGAGGAAGTTGGAAAGGGTCTGGTCAGAGCAGGGCAGCCTTGGGGGCAGGGAGGTGCGGGGGGCTGCTCTGAAGGTGGGCGGAGATGAGCATGCGAGCCAGTAGGGGAGGCAGGGAGGCCCCAGCAGACAGTGGTCACAAAGGCTGGCATGGGGAGCATCTCTCTGGTCCCTGGCACTGGCCCCTCCTCTCTGTGATGGTCAGAACCTGGGTTTCCAATAGAATCAGGTTACTTTGCGTCTCCCAGAATGTGCCTGCACCCCACCCCAGTCTGCACACCCGGAGGCCACCTGCCTGCTCCCCTCTTCATCAGCTGATGCTGTTCCCCAATCACAGCCCCCCCACCCCCGTCTTGATTTCCTGCTATCTGCCTCAGCCTCTGCTGAAGTGAGCTCGAAGTCCCCTGCAGGGTAAAACCCAAGTTCCTGCCTGGTCTTGGGCATTTCCCCACCTCTCCTTCCCTGTCCCCTAGCACAGCCTGCCCCTCAGAGCCCCAGGCCACGCATGGGAGCCAGCCCATAGGGCGAGGTATAAAGACAACACTTCATCATCCTTGAGTGCCATTAGGGGTTCCCCCAGGGTCTGTAGCTCTCGCTGTACCCTGGGGGGGTTGGGGAAGGCAGAGTAATTATTGGACCTATTTCACAGTTGGGGAAGTAGAGGTTCAGAAAGAGTCAAGTCTCCCATATGAAACTACTCATACACAAACCTCAACCTTTCCTGTTCCCGATCAGCTCCCAGCACTACAGCTGCCCCTGGGAACTGGGCGAGCAGCCTGGAGAAACTATCAGGTGCCCTGCACAGACATGCATTGGGGACATGAGACTCACCCTCTCAGGCCCCTGGAGCAGCTCAGCTGGTGGAGGAAATCAGAGGCCTCCCCACATGCCCTTGATCCGGTAAATCAGCACCCAACCTGGTTGGCACTTTAGTGTTTAAACCTACAGTGCCGTGCTGTGGGCATAGAAACCTCTCCCACTTCTTCAGTGCTCTGTGATATCTCAAACTCCCATGAATATGGCACTTCTGTCTGGTCAGACGTTTCCCCATGCTGAAGAGCTGTGTGCAGCTCCAAGCCCCAGGCAGGATCACCTTGGACCTCCTTAGACAAGTGCTTGCTGAACCCAGGACCTCTCCAGAGAGTGCATCTGCAGTTCATCCAGCGTGGAAGGACCTAGAGCCCTGCCTGACGGTGCTGTGGAAGGAACAAGGCTGGAGAGGGCCCTGCATTCAGCCGGGAGCTTCTCATTGTCCTCAGTATTCAGAGTCAAGCCCACTGCACGGCCACACTCCCCAAAACCAACTCAGACCTGCAGACTCAAATGCAAAAGAGAGGTGGCCCCTCTACCCAGGTGCCCAGTTACCAGGTTCTGCCCCTTGCTCTGAAGTGAGTGGAGAGATCAGGGGCATCACAGTCCAGGTGGGCACCCACCAATGCCCAGTGCACCTCTGTGAGGGACTAGGAAAATGATCCCACCAGTTTATTTCCCCACACTCATCACAGCTTCACAGCTGAGGAGTTTCCTATGAAGAGATGAGGTGTTCCCTCCTCCCTTCCCCTCCCCTTAACAGATGATGGCCTCTGGGGAGCAAGCACTCTAGGAGCCCCAACAGCAGACAGGTTCCTCAGAGTATAAAACGTGGGCCTGGAGGTGCTGGAGTCCCCACTAGTCCCTCCCCGAACCCCTCAGGAGCCTCACTGGACCCCAGGGACATTCCTCTGAGTGGAAGATGGCACTCCCGGGACCCCAAAACACACTCCCATGAGATGCGGCTTCAGAGAGCATCTCTTATGTCCCCCACTTTTGACAACCAGGGAAACAGCGAGGGATGAGACTTCACCAAGTCACTCAGGGAGTCGATCAGAACGCGTAACCCACACAGCTGACTCTGTCCCTCTTCCATCCTGACCCCTGGCCCTCCTCACCCACATCCCAGCCCCCCAGACTCTAGGCTTCCAGGGTACTGATGCTGGGTCTCTCGGGGTGCTTAGGTGCCGTCCAATCAGGCCCAACTCCAGCAGCCCCACGCACAACACAGAACCATGCTCCATCCTCAGACACTCTGCCAATCGTTAAAGGTCTTCCTCTCTTTCAGTGACAAAACTTTTCTAAGCTTGATGTCCTTCCCCAGGGAATGACCCCTCCTGATAACTTATCCAAAGGACAAGAGGAAAAGTCAGAGCAAGCCTCCTCCCAACTCTGAGATTTATTTGCTTGTTGGTAACCCATCAAACTCAAACTCACTGCAGTGAAGTGAAAAATCAACTCACAGTGGAGTCTCCAGTGGGTCTTCAGAGGCTGTAAATCTTATGGGAGGACAGTGTCCATCTTTCTCCCTTGGAGCTGCAGCTGGGGGATTCGAACCCCCAGAGGTGCCACATTCGAGTTAGCAGTACAACTCCCTCCCTGCTACAGCGTCAGAGAGTAATATTCTCTGCCAACACCATTTATTGAAGACAATGATTCTTCTTCTGTCTTTATTCATTTTCAGTATTCACATGCATATGAGCCCTGGTGACCCAGTGGGTAAAGAGTCAACTCAAAGGCAAGTAGTTCAAATCCTCCAGCTGCTCTGTGGGGGGAAAATGGACCATCTCCTCTCATGAGTTTTATAGCCTCTGAAAATCTGTGGGAGGCTCAGCTATGAGCTGATCAATTGATGGCAATGGGTTGGTTGCAGAGCACCAGAAAATACTGCGGCTTGCTTCAAGGGCGTCTTCGCCTTTAACTTCAGCACTTTTAAAGACCTTGGCAGATTTGCCCTTTGCAACATATCTTTCTATTCTTTTTTTAACACAATCTCAACATATTTTATGGATTCATGGTTGCACATTTTCTTCCCTCCACTCCCCCTACCCACCCCCCAACACACTCCTTGTCCAGATTATTGTCATTCATATCACACTTAATCACATAGTCCTTTCTGACAGTGTTCCCCTCATCTGTTCTCCTGCAACGTTCGTTATCTACTCTTTCTGTTCTTTCCACAATCTCACCATGTCTGTCCTATTTTATAACAGTGGTGTTAGGCAGTATTTGTCCTTTTGTGACTGAGATATTTCATTCAACCTAATATCCTCTAGGTTCTCCCATGTTGTGTAATGTTTTATGAGTTCATTGTTTTTCAAGACTGTGTAATATTCCATTGTGTGAATGTACCATAGTATTTCTTTCCATTCATTTGTTGATGAGCACTTGGGTTGCTTCCATTTCTTTTTTTATTGTGAAAAACAGCAAGAAACATAAGTGTGCACATCTGTTCGAGTCACAGCTCTGGTGTGAAATTCTGAATTCAGAAATTCTGGAAGCAGAATTTCTGAGTCAAATGGTATTTATTTCCAACTTTTTGAGAAAGTGTCAGATCACTTTCCCTAGTGATTGTACCACTAGCAATGAATCAGAGTTCTAATCTCTCCACAGCCTCGCCAGCATTTGTTGTTTGCTGCCCTGTTGAACTTTGCTATTGTTTTGGGGGTAAAATGATAGCTCTCAGTTGTTTTGATGTGCATCTCTCTGATAGCTAGGGATTTTGAATATTTCTTCATGTTTGTCTGGTTAAGTGTCCTATGTCCTGTGTCCGTTTTGCAATTTGGTTGTTTACCTTCTTCTTGTTGAACTGCTGGAATATTCTATAAATTTTATATTTAAGTCTCTTATCAGATATGTCACTGCCAAATATTTTCCCCAGTCTGTGGGTTTCCTTCTTACCCTATTGGAAAAGTTTTTAGAAGGTCCCATTTGTCTGTCTTATTCTTTTATGGTTATAGGTTTTTCATTATGCTTGGAAGACTGTTCATGCTGTGTATTAGGACCTCTAGAGTTCTTTCTAGCTTTTCCTTGATGAATTTTATGGCCTCTGGTTTTCCTTCTAGGTCCCTGATCGACCTTGAATTGGGTTTCATATATGGTGTAAGGTGTGGGTCTTGCTTAAGTTTTCTGCAGATGGTTTTGCAATTTTGCCAACACCATTTGTTAAAGAGACTGTCATTTCCCCCACTTAACTAATTTCATCTCCTTGTCAAAGATCAGTTGACTATATATAGATGAGATGATTTGGGGCTCTCAGTTCTATTCCATTGATCTGTATGTCTGTTTCTGTACCACGCTGCCTTGACCACCAAGACTGTGTAGTAGAATTTGAGATCAGGGAGTGTGATGCCTCCTGTCTTGTTTCTCTTTTTCAGCAGTGTTTTTCTTATTTAGGATCTCTTTCCTTTAGAGATAAAATTGGAAATTGTATTTCCATCTCGTTGACCTTCGATTTTTCATGGGAGTTGAATGTAGAAAAAAATAAAATTAAATCCTCGACAACTTCATCCCTTTCTCCACTTATCGTGATGTGGTTTATTGGTCCAGTTGTGAAGCTTTTTGTTTTCTTTGTGGTGAGATCTCTTTGAGCTTTTTCAATAACCATGTCAGATCCTCTTCACTTTCAGCTTGTGACGTGAAGCATCTTGGACTGTAAGAAGCTTTCTCTGCTGCATCTGACACCAGGCCTCTGACTCTCCCTACCTTCATCCTCTCACCAGATGCCATCCCCCACCCCCCCACCCCGTTTCTCCCTGGAGTTTGTTCAGTATTTGCCCCGCCCCCTTGAAAGCAAGCTGAAGGGAAGGGGTTTTTGTCTGTCAAAGTGGGAAGACAAGGCCTCAGACTCCAGGTCCCATCTCTCATTCATTCATTTACTCACTCAATCATTCATTCTGACTGCCAGACCATCACAGCCACAAAATTAGGAAGAATAGGAACTCAATTGCTACTATCATCTGGCGGGTGCTGCTCATCCACAGAGCCCACAGGGAATTAGC